ACAAACAAACAAACAAACAAACAAACAAACAAACAAACAAACAAACAAACAAACAAACAAACAAACAAACAAACAAACAAACAAACAAACAAACACAGAGGCTCGTCTTCAGTGTTAGATACAAAACGATAACAACCTGACAGGTGATGCTGCTCAAAACCACTTTCATCACATCTGTGAGTTTTTTCATTCATTAAGATCGATGTGATGTGCTTACAATGCAGTTAAACAAACAAACAAACAAAAACAACCCAAATAAACAGTCAAAAGTTTGAAAAAGAGCAGAAACATATCAACGTGAAGAATTCATGTCATGAAGAGATTCACACCATCATTAAAAAGCTGGAGGTCAGTCACCTGCAGAAAGCTGAATAAAGACTAAAGAAAACTGAACCTGATGTCGGCCAATGCTACAAATCTCAATGCTGTCACTGTGGTGTACCCATGATTTGTCCAAGAGATCATTTTATTCTATATTTGTGGATAGAAAGCAGTATGGTTACAACAGCTTACTGCATGACAGCATTGATAAACTCGGCTTTAGCTGATGAAGCAGAAACACAGATGAAGCTCATGTTTCTATTTTTCTGACAGTATTTGAGATCTGTGTTATTCTAGATGGAGCTTGTTTGTCAGACTTCACACAGTTTCATCTGAGGAGAGAGAGTATCCTCGCTCCTTCACCAGTTTCAGACTGACATATAAAATCTGTGACACATACGTTATTATTATTATTATTATTAGTATGGTAAATAAAGAAAGGTAAAACACTTGATTTGTCTAGCTAACTAAAAGACCTGCTGACATTTCCAGTTCACTGCTTGTGCCATGTCTGTTATTTAAATTGAACATTTGCTGGATTTGAATGAAATGTCATGACTCTGGTAAACCACACACAGAGGTACTAATCCAGTCCTGCCCACAAAAATTTAAATTTTCTAAAAGAATAGAAAAAAACTTGCTCGTCAAAATGATCTCATTGTTTAATATGATCCTCTTTATGTGGAAACCACCACATAATGAGTGGATTCATTAGAATATAATATTTCCTATGTTAGATATATTATCTTTGCTGTGTTAGATTTTGTCTGCACTCAGTGTCTGATCTATGAGCAGCAGCAGAAACACCTGCAGCTAACAGAAGCTCACATTCAGCTTCGTGTTCTCCTCCTTTTCCCTCTCTTGTTGAAGCCTGTGCTGCGTAGTTCATACTGACTGACACAAAACAAAGAAAGTCTGGTTTTCTCCGCCTCTTTGAAGTTTGAGAGAAGCTGACTAAAGACAAAGAGACTTTCTCACCTAAGAAAGTGGTGTTCAAATAAAACAACTGATTTCTCCAAAACAAACAAAGCTGGTTCTGGTTTTCTGAAATGTGAGCCTCCAAGAGAATCAGAACTCAGTACAAACAAAAGCTTTTGTTGGAGAGCTTCTGAAACTCTTAAACCTTCATGTGAGCTATTGATGTACTAGTTTATTTGTTCATATAAATATTCACATTTATAACGATCTCCAATAATGTGTATGGTGTCATACAGTGTATTTCAAAGACAGTGTGTGAATGTTGTATCAGTCTACTGTAATATTCTAGTATGGTGCAGTAATCAGCAGTGAGGAAACAGGGAGCAGACTTACCATAGTGCCCACACTGTATGTGGCTGCAGGACCAATGGTGTGGTGATAGGGGTCTGCGGTTGCATAGACTCTGCCGTAACTACATAAAAGGAAGTAGGAAGAATCAGCTTTTATTAAAATGCAGTATAAATGTACAGTTGCTTAAGCAACTGCTGCAAAACAAAGACTATAAACATATTTGAAAGATGGAAGGTGAAAAATGAAAGTTTGATATTAACAACTGGGACTCTATCCTATCTCTCATGCCCGCCACCACCTGGGACGTGCTTTGTTTGCTTGTTATTCTCCCTCATCTGTCAAAGTGTTGCTCTGATGCACTTGGTTTGTTAAAATGTGACAGGAAAAGTATCTGAGCTCAAAGACACAAGCCTCAGTATAGAACGGCGTGCACGACAGTCATAGACTGAAGCACTGCATGTGTGTGCTGATTAAAGTACTCAAAGAAAAATGCTAGACCTTATAAATACCCGTCTATTTACAACGGCAATAATAAGGAATGGGTTGCAGCTTTCACTTAGCTGCATTAAGGCAGTGCTGAATCGTCTCGCCGGGCCAGGTGAAACCTGGAGTTCCAACTCTCACTGGTGTTATATTGTGTACCAGTCTTTTCTGATTGGGAATTCAGTCAGAAATATTGTTAGCATTCTCAGCTTCAACTGTCAAAGAGTAATTAATAATATATTATCATATCTTGGAGCCACTTATTTTAACTGAGATCTATAATCATTTTCACTAATCAATCACACTAAAGGCTGGCAGGCCATGTAATGAAAATTATGCTTCTCTCAAAACTGATGTTTTAAACAGGAGGGCAGCATTGGATTTGTTTGATCTCCAGCATGAACGGGAAGAAAGGCTACAGAAACATGTCTGTGTGGGTTCTCAGTCATCAAGGTCATCTAATCTACAGAGCTTGAACATACCAACTGGATTTCTTTCACCTCTCATCCAAGAGGCTTCTTCATTTCTAAAAACCAGGTATGTAACCCCAGGTGAAGGTTAAGTCAGGTAAGTCATCACATGAGCCAATGAAAAGAAGGTGTGGGTATATTACCATTACTGAGAGTTACAGTTGAAACCATTGTGAAACCTTGCCCCACCCAATCATGTGAACTGAGGTCTGGTTGTAGGCGCCAAATGCCTGAGAAGGGATCTTTAGACTGTGTTGACACTGCACCACACGTGGCTGATAGATGGTGCTGTAGGCCACCCCTTCTGTTCAAAGATGGGCGTTCATAGCAGACATGGATCTTTTACTCCTCTTTCAAACCTTCTTGCATCCTTCATCTCTGAAAGAGTGACTTTTGACCTTTGATTTTTCTGAGCACTTCTTGATGCACTGCACAGCAAACACTGTGTGGCTTAGATGATTTTGGCGGTTTTGGTTGAGGGTGTGGCTTAGTCTGAGGTGCACTGGGATGCTCAAATTCTCCTGAGTTTCTCTGACAAAGCAGTTACACAAGGAATGATGATGTTGTTCAGTTTGTCATTTCTCCCTGGTTGGTGTTTCTTTTACATCAGGGATGCAAATCTTTAGGTGACGGCCAAGCAGAAACCAATCAGAATCAGAATCAGAATCAGAACACTTTATTAATCCTGAAGAAAATTATGGGTTACAGCAGGCAGCACGCTACGGCGCAAGCACACTTTCAAAGGAACCTTCTGACCAAACTTTACACAAATATCACATTGGAAAGACAAGTCAGAGAAGGTAGGCTGATAGGAAAAAACAACGAAAATACATAACATGAGGTGAGAGGAGGAGAAAAAAACTCCACTCAGACTGAGCTCGTACTGGGAGAACAGAAAAAACACCCCAGCACAAAAAGCACATGACTGTCAATACACCACAGAAACACAAGACAAGCAACAGGGGCGGGTAAAGGTGAGAGAGAGCCGGTGTAGACAAGGCATCCGGTCCTGCAGCATGTCTGCGCTGGTCCAGTCGACCGCCATCTGCCGCGGGAGGGGACAGGCATCGAAGGCGTTTGGAAAGGGAGGGGGATGAGTGTGTATCAGTGTATGTGTTCAGTTCAGCTGAGACAGTGTCCTTCACCCTGCCGGGCTAAGTAAACAGTCTTCCAGCCAACCCAGGTGGCCTTGCATGGGGGAGGAACAGTCTAAGCACAGTCGTTATCAGGGTGTTGTTGTTCAGCTCCAGCCTTGAGACCACAGCTGGCGCTGAAGTGGTAGCTGCATGAAGTGATGATGGTTTTTACTTTAGTGCGAACAACTCATGTGAATTTCAAAGCTGTTGTTCGACACTGGTCTCTCAATCTGCCGTTGGAGAGCCGCGAGCTTCTCCACGATGTTATCCAATTTTCACTCAGCGGTCTTATTCTGAGTGTTCACGGCAGCCTCGAGCTTCTCCAAGATCTTATCCGTGCTGCGTTCAATGAGCCCATTCTGAGAACTCACGCCTCGTCCTATCGTTTCAATCCCAGCGGGCAGCCTTGTGGGGGTAGGAACAGCCGATTCCGCTTTCTTTAATCTTTGATAAGCCAGGGCCAAGCCAGCTCCGATCAGCAAGAACCCTGTTATCATGGTTCCGAACAGGTAGATATCTTCAATGTCCTTGATCGACAGTCCCGCCAGGCACACGACCATCCAGTTCGTCCACCCGTCCATCGTGTATCCGGCAGGGAAAGTCCCTCCAGGACAGTCAGGCTCCCCCGATCCCCGGCTTCTCGTTGAGAAGCTGGTGTCAATTGCATTCAGGGACCAGTTGATCAAATCCATAATTCCTCTTTTAGGTTTTAGAAAACAGACTGTGAGAGAGTGTTCCAGGGAAAAGTAAAAAATAGACTAGACTAGACAAGAACACAAGAAGCTAAGCAGGGAAGATAAGGAAAGGGAGAGGAGAAAAGTGTGACCGCCTTCGCCAAGAGCCAGAAATTGAAGGTCATAATTCTCTCTGTGAGGGAGAAGGTTTTAAGGATGGGGCTGAAGGTAAACCCCCCCAAGATGGGTATGTTGCAGGTTAGTGTTAAAATTTCCTCAACAAGGGCCTTGATCACCCCACATCTGTGTTCCAGATGGTGGTGGGAGTCAAACAACAGGTACTGGTCTGTGTGTGGGTTTCCAGTAAACTTCAATGCTGAGGTTTCCATCCTCAGTGCGCACAGCACAGTCCAGAAACAGCAAACTTTTATCCTTTGTATCTTCCTTGGTGAACTGTATGTTTCTATCCACTGAGCTAACATGTTTGGTGAAAGGTTTTGATTCAGACTAAGGTGGCATCCACATATCTGTACCAGTGGCTGCGTGTTATCCTTTGGACAAAGCCAAGAGCTTTAGTTTCCATTTCCTCCATGTAAAGGTCGGCTGTAGAAACCATCGTTTCATTTAGAATATGTGGGATTGTGACTAATGGTTGATGATAAGTTTTGATTTAGATCTGCTTTCCACAGATATAATCATTGAATTTGGAACATGCAAAGACAACAGGAAGAAGCTCTTTCTTGATCCATGGATCTCAGTCTGTGTACAAGAGGAGCAGGCGGTCGGAGCACCTGAAGGCACACAATTCAATTCAATTCAATTTTATTTATATAGCGCCAAATCACAACAAAAGTCGCCTCAAGGCGCTTCATAAAGCTCCAAGCCGGTACTGTGAGGCATCACACGTACAGTAAGTGTGATGGGTTTCTGCACATCATAGTAGCTGAGAGTGGCTGGACTGGCTCTTTGTTAAAGCATTGAATGCATCTTGACGCTGCTTTAGCCAGCACCACTGAATGTCTTTGTGTGTTAGCTCATGAAATGGGGCTGAGAGGTCACTCTGGGAAAGAACTTTCCTAAAAAGTTGATCATCCCCAAGAAGCACCGGAGGGCTGTGACATTTTCTGGTATGAAAATCTCATTAATTGCTTTAGTCTTAGCTGGATCAGGCTTGAGGCCCTTGCTTGTTAATACATGTCCAACATAACAGACTTCCTCAAGTTGGAATTTGGACTTCAGGGCGTTCAGTCTCAGTTGGACTTCCCTCACATGCTCGAGTTCCTTTCTGAGATACTGTTCATGCTTTCATATCTCTTCCACCAATGATTATGTCGTTGACCCATTTCACTACAAATAATTACAGCGGGTATTCCTTGCCTGCAGAGTGGGTCAAAGTGTAGCTGTGCCAGCTGTTTGAATTTCCTCACCTCCATATGCCACCAGTTTGGTTTTCTGAGTCTTCTGTTTTGTTTCAGTCGGCGGGCATGACATTACATTTGACGGCAGCTCTATTGGTTTTTCATTGATATGCACAGTGGTGAATACGTCATTCCTATGCAGAAAACAGGGATTCCCAGTGTCTATATTGACCCCATTCACAAAGAACATTTCTTCATCACTGCTGGGCGCTTGCATCTCAACGCCACCTCCACAGTTGTTGCAGTTAGTTATTGCATGTGCAGGACTCTGTTCTGATCGTGTCGCACTTATTTTGTGATGAAACTATCCACCTTTGCTGTCGTTTGGGGCTGCTATTCGAATATTTAGCTCATTTCGATTGCTTTGCTTAAGGTTAAGTCACTGTCATGCAGTAGTTGCTTTATCATGCTGCCATGAATATATCGTATTCTTGCTCGTACACGGGCGACTTCTTGGCAATGTTTCCATTAAACATCAATGATTCTGGTCTACAGAATCCTTCCACATGGTCATTGATGTTTAATAGCCTTTGCTACAATAGCTGAACAACGTTAGCTGCTTGCTTGCTATGTCTTTAAAGGGCTGAGAAAACGTTTAGCTTACCGCTGTGTTGGCAGCTTTTTAGCACATGACCAAACCACAACTTCTGACATCATGTTTGATGTTTAGTAAAAACGCTGGGTTTATGATTGCTTATAAGCTTTTACTGTGTATGACAGTGGCGACATTACGTGCAAGCAGCTCGACTCCAGGGGTGGGAACCCGGTCCTGTGATAGACATTCCCACTGAATGTACAGTGCACTATTCACGTCGAACAGGTATGGAAACCCTCATTATTAAACAACACTAGTCACGTTCTACAGGAATCATCAAACCTGAGGAAAAACACAGGATCCTGAACTCTAAGACATTAGGAGTAATCTAATTTTCAGTTCAGTTCAGTTTTATTTATACAGTGCCAAATCACAACAACAGTTCCCGAGACACACTTTATGTTGTAGGTAAAGATCCCACAATAATAAACAAATAAGCACGGTATATGAGATTTCAGAAAGTCTTGAAAATTGTGAGCCAAAAGCCAGTCCAAGTCCAGACCTTGGACCATTTGGTGTTGTCTCTGGCAGGACCTTAAGAGATCTGTGCTCGCAAGCAATGTTGTAAAAGAGAGATAAAGGCATCCAGAAAACCATAACCATAGAAGAAGAAACATGGTCTATGCTTAGTTTTTCACAGGGCTTCATAGAATTGACCCACTGGTGTCAAGCCAACCATCTCACCCTCAACGTCGCAAAGACAAAGAAGTTGATAGTGGACTTCCGGAGGTGCAGAGAAGTACACACCCCCATCACCATCAACGGCGCTGCTGTGGAGAGAGTGAGCAGCTTCCGGTTCCTTGG